TGAGCAGTTGGGTGAATTGGTTGTTGGAAGAAATAATTAGGACATAGAACCAGTTGTTAGATCATTTGAATTCCACCTGTGATGATCCGGGGGGGCGGGGGAGATACAAAATAAACACAGTCACAAAAACCCAGCTCCAAATATCCTTGACGGAAAACAAAAAAACTCCCACACAAGCAGTTTTCCCTCCAAGGAGGAGGAAAAAAAACAACACAAACCAGGCAAGATAAGGGCTAGAGGACTTCCACAGATAACAAAACACACACTGGGAAGGATGCCAAACTTAGAGAGGAACCATAAACTAGAGATATTTTCACGCTTTGTTTCCAGCGCTCGCCCATATGCATGTCCGTCCTCTTATTCAGTTGTCACAGCTGCAGCCCATGAAGAGGATCAAGGCCCTCTCCTCCTGAGTAGACCACATCTCTCCCTTATCCTCTCCTCCCTGCGTGCCCTAGGATGGATAGGGGATGGGCCTGGGTCCTCCTCCAACTGCTCAGCTGGTCTCTGCCCTTCCCCAGCCTCCCCCACAACCTCTGGAGCCACATTTCCACTCCCTGTCGACTGTTCTCCTTTAGAGTCAGTCTCCACCAGGGGCATGACACCACCACTGACTGCTGTAACTGACTGCAGTAACTATTGGGCCTTCTAAACCTAAGCTGGTGGCTAATGGGAGCAAAAGCTAATGCTGATTTCACACAACCAAAAAGGTTGTGTCCACTATAACAAAAGTCATTCTCCAGACTGGCCAAAGCTATTTGCATACCATGCCCAAGCGCAATCAAAGCCTTCACAAAGCCATCCAAGCACAATATCATTAAGAAGTTGCATAAATCTAGCAATTATAATAGTATTAATACTGGTGAGCTCCAGAGTGATATACATTTGTCCTCTTATTTCCTGAATATAGTAGTTCTTTGTGTACTGAAATTGAGACTCGGTTTGAGAGGTGTACTAATTAAGGTAATAAGCTAGAAACCAGGAGATAAGAGTTCTAGCCCCAGTTAGGCACAAAGCCCAATAGAGTGACCTTAGGCCAGTCACTTCCTCTCAGCCCTAGAAAGGAGCAATGGCAAACCACTTCTGAAAATCTTGCCAAGAAAAGGCAAGCAGGGATTCATCCAGGCAACCTCTGAGAATCAGACATGATGAATTGGAAGAAAAGAAGTGTGCATTTGATATGTGCATATAAATGATTAAGATTTCCAAATAATTCATAATGGTTAATCATCATTTTTTTAATAAAATATCCACAATACACATACACTTATTCAGTAAGGTTTGATCAATAAACAATAAAAGATTACTGAGAATTCTAGCAATCCCCCTCCCCATTTTTTTCATCAAATATAGGCTCGATGTTCAAACCTTTTACCACAAAACACAGGCTTTGTTTGCAATGTAAAGAAACACAGACCTGTGAAATAATCTTGTATCATCAGTTCATCTGAAGACAGAGAATAAAGTTCAGTCCCAAATGTATAACTTCAGATGTAATTCTCCCTTGATTATTATGAGCAAGAAGCTTTATGATAATCATAGATTCTACAAAAGTATTTAAAAAACCAGAAGTATCAGAATTTGACACATTATACACCAGGTAGACTAAAAGTATTTATGTCAAAAATAATACAGCTTCTATATGCCTACAGAACACAGACCCGTTAGAAACCATTCGATCAAGTTTCTTACATATTTCAGGTGCTACAATGTATCTCAAGTACAATTCTTTAGGGAAAGACTGGATTGGCATTAATAAAACTTGAGTGCAGATACCACCTGCACATGTTAGCTCTGGTGTAAATTAATTTTCAAATTAGTTTGACCCTGCAAGTTAAATTTCAATCTTTTTGGTGGAAATCCCCCTTAAGGTAGTAGGAATTATTTCCTAATGCACTGATCTCTTTGAGTTTTTGAACTAGCTAAATCATTCTTTAAACAATAACCCAGAGGTGCTGATCTGCAAAATTATTGTAGCCAAACTCCACCTTACTTCATCCCAGTGACATACTTGAAGTGTTGTGTCTATCTATTACTTGTTTAAGATTGCACCTCAAAATACCACAAGAGCATTTGCATTGCCCTTCTATCTGCTTTTGGGGAAGGCAGATTTTACAATGCTCCTACAGAGCACCTTCTCCACCTATGTGGTGAAAGGGAGAATAAGACCATCCATTATGACTTGCTATGCTGACTCTTACATAGGGATAATTGAGCTATGTGTATTTCCACATTTATAATACAATACCTAGGCAGGACCAAGGATGACACTTCAATCTTCTATGGGGTGGATCAGGAGGCAGGAATGTTAGGTAGCAGAGCCAGATGTAGCACATGGCTGTGATGGAAAGCAGAGAACTGCTTCAAGTGGGATGAGTCTAATTAAAGTCATGTTAAAATATTTAGCATACCATTTTAGGCACATGCATTATTTTTTTAATGTGTCTACTTTACAATTATCTTACTTTTTAATTTGTTATGGTCTGTGGCCATGATAAGCTAAATATGTTTTTTGGATCATTGTGGTGTAAACCAACCTACTTCAAACTATACTTCTATTTCCTGAAGCAAAACTAAAATAAAAAGCAACTCATTATAAAAAAAAAAAGCAGCTGAATAGAAGAAAAAGAAAGAACTTATGCTGATGTCTCAAAATCTTCTTAAATCTATTTCCACCATCCTCTTATAGTAGTACAGTATACAGTCAATTTTGTAACATCTAAGATTTAGATGTCAGAAGAAGTCCGCTAACACGTTCTTTTTGTGTGTGTTGAGAAAAGGACTCCAAACTAAATTCCAGATAAGGTAAAACAAATGCCCTGTGATTAAAAGAGATAATGCAGAGCTTATAAATTACAGATGCAGTAGTTTCACATGTCACAATAAACCATGGTTTCATCATAATGTGTTGAATAAATCACAATTGGCTGCAATTGCATCATTTGACAACCACACATGAAGGCTTAGCAAATGAGCACAGTCGGTCATTGTAGTTTAAGGCATCTTTCATAGACTCAGTGAAATTTTCATTTTAAAAATTACATTGATTATAAGGCCATTCCAAAAAAGGTCTACTTTGTCTAGCCAATCAGCAGCCAGAGGTTTTAAAACATTTTTTTTAAATTAAACATTTGAAGTAATCAGAAAGGTTTTCTATAACCCACTTCATTATTTTTTGTCCTCTTGACATTTCTCTTGTTTCTTCTTGACCACTAAGGAATTATATGGTTCAGCAAATAACTAGCCCAGGAGGACATGCCCCATCTTATCTCCTTAATCTGTATGAGATCAAAGCCCTCCTTTGTTACCCCTGAAATTCAAATGGCATAAAGAAGACATAATGGTTATGGCTTCTCTTTTTCTCAGCCCCTTGTGTGAGTTCAGCTACTGACTCAGATAGAAAAGGCTAGATTTTTCCATGTACTTAGGAATTCCTTCCCCACCCCCAAAATATACAGTAGAGCTCTGTGTGCTGGATTCAGAAATCATTATTCAGTCCAGCTCTAAAGAAATATTGAGCTGCTGTTACAAACATTTCGCCACGAAGACTAAAGACCTGGAGGATTTCAGACGGCTTGTTGGAAATTGTAGCCAAGTGCCTGACCTCAGTTCTGGAATCAGTTAAGTGCACAGAAGCTCTTCTGTGGGCTTCTCCGAACTCAGTTGGGGAAATGAAACCTGCAAACTTAGCTTGACTCGCATAGGAGAAAATCCAATTTAACATTTTGGAGGATTCAGAATAAACCTGCATAGGGTTGGGCTGCAGAGTTTACAAGAGTTTTCCTGCTTTTAAAAAAGCGAGCTTCTCAGCAACTGGGAGAATGTTCCCCTTAGCAGACCAAGGTTGATAGAAATAAAAATCTGACAGTTGCCCTTGAACTGAGATCAATTCGAGCCCTTGAACTAAGATCAATTCAGGTCATTGCAGGTCATTGCTATGAAATGCCACCATTTACTGACATAAATACACACATATATCTTCGGAAGTTTTTTCAAAAAGGGCATCTTACAATCATGCAAGCTTTAAAAATAAAATAAAATACCTAGTGGTTTAATAGATAGCTCTTCCTCAACCAAACCAACTGACTTCATCATTTCTCAAATTATGTTTCCCACCTATGAGTTTTGGTCTTTCAAATCAACCCTGGTGACCACATGGTTGTCTATGTGGTTTTCCTGCCAATATTCCTGGCAATAAAAAAGTGCTTTTGCTAGTACTTTCTTCCTAGCACTGAGAGAGAATGACTGGCCCAGAGTGATCCAGCTGGTATTATTACTTCAGAGACGACAATAATTCAATCTCACAGCTCCCAGTCTAGTACACCAAACTGTCTTCTCAAATATGCCAGAATCTAAACAGGTGATTCACTGCCTTATCCTGCAAAGGAGACTATATACATGTATAAATAATAATGCAGCCTCTCAGAAGTTAGATGCTCAGCATTCCTGGATAACAAGCAGGTACCAATCCTATTGAGGATGCTCTGAATATTCCTTTCTGGGGTATTAAAGATACTGATTCGTTAATGGGTCAAAGGGAAAGGACAGGAAAGAAAAGAGTAGAAAGACATGCAAAACTCAAAGACCAGCCACTTCGAGAAGGTAGCTGATCATTTAGAATGCTTAATTGCTACCCTTGAATCCACGTATGCACCCTAACATATGACAGCACCCCCTTCCTTGCTTTGCAAATATCCCTGCCCTATTGCTGTTAGATGAGAGTTGGTGTTATTCCAGATTAATCACTGTAGACAGGATGAGCACGATTTTGTGCAACTCTTCTACAGATGGCTCAATATTTAAATTCAAAAGAGACGCCGAGAAGGGAAGCAAAAGGAGAGCGCCGGAGATTGGAGAGTTGGGGAAATAGCAAAGAAGCAAAGCAAGCAAGGTGGGGGTGCCGGCTCCCCGACCGCCTTGGAAAGAAAGCAGAGGCGTCGAAAGTGGGAGAAGTGGCGGGGGGGGGGGGGGGGGGGAAGGGGACCGCCCACTTTGCTTACCTCGGCCATAGGCGAAGTGCAAGCGCAGCGCCTTGCCTTGGCGCACCAGGTTGATGTGCAGGTAGGTGAACCACACGGCGAAGGTGAGCAGCACCAGCAGCAGCAGCAACTTGAATTGCTTCCGGATCTTCTTCACCGGGAACCACAGCATCCTCCAGGCAGCATGCCCGGGGGGGGTCCTATCTACCCCCGGGGGGTTGAGCTGGGGCGCTCGAGCCGTCCTTCCCGCGGGAGGATGAATGGGAGAGAGGAAGGGAGGCGACAGACGCGAGGGGTCAGCCCCTAACCCGGCCTCCGCGTCGCCCCCTCGCCGCTCATTTTGTCCCGAAGGCAAAAGCACTAGGCTGTCTCCCCCGCCGGTCGCCGGCTGCGTTGGTCGGGTTACCTGCAACGCCGACGGCGGCGGCAGCAGCAGCAGCAGCAACTTTGGTGTCCCCGGACTGGCGCGCAAACTTCGTTTCGGCGCTGTCCAGCCGAAAGGGCTGCCGATCGGAGGAGGAGGAAAAGGAGGAGGAGGAGGAAGGGGATGCTCCCGACAGCTGCCCCCAGAGGATAAGGGAATGGGTGGGGGGTCTTAATGCTCTCCCCCCCAAAAATGCTCGGCCGCCTCCAACCAACTCCTGGCGGGAAGGGACAAAGGCATCCAGGCAGCAGGAGACTCCCTCCGACCGCGAGCGATCGAGCGGCGCGGGAATGGACAGCTCGCTCCCTCGCCGACACCTCCGGTTACCTGAGGCTCTGTGCATGGGGAAAAGCAGCCCGGAATCCCCGCCCCGCAACCGGGCTAATAAGAATGTCGTCCTCGGCAGGCAATGAATGGAGGGGAGAGAAGCTGCCCAGAGAGTTTCTCCCCAGTCCCCCGGCTTTTGAGTCTCTTTCTCGAATTATTGCGGCTCCTCGGCCTGGCACTTTTAGAGGCTTTTCGTGACGGATGCAAAGCCGGAGCTGCCGCGTTTCCTATTGCCGTCTTGCGCGCGCGGCTCCCAGCGATGCCCTGGCGGTATCATCGCCTCTTGGCCGTCGCTGCTCTGGCTTTGGAGCTCGAAGAGAGCAGCATCCGCACGCTGTGATGCAACCGAGCCTTGAAACGGGACGGCCAGATAAGCAGTCCGACGGGACCCAATGGCAACCCCGTTTTGTTCGATCCGCCCAATCCTCTCGCTCAGGAGGCGGGTCAAAGGCGAGGTTCGGCTGTGAGCGGCGTTCATCTCCACGCCAACGTGCAAACATCCACCTGGGGAGCGGATTCCGTGCCTGCCTAGGCAAAGGGGGGGAATGATATATTTGGGGGCCGGGGGAAGGGGGAGGGCTGCCATCATTCTCTTGCAAACCTCCCAGGCCTTCCATCTACATCCTGAAAGAGAAATCTGGCTGCTCTAGCTTCGGGGAGAAAAAAAAATCTTCCCTTTTTCTGTGTATTGTTCGTTTGAGATGCCACTTACAACCCTACTAGGGCGTCCCCTTCGTGAGGGATGGTATCTTCCCAGCAGATGCAAGCTGGTACTCTATGAGAAGGGAGCAACATTTTTTCCAAGATGGTAAAAGGCTGAGGATGCAGGCGTCCTTCTTTGAGATGGCTGCAGGTAAAACTGCGGTTGGCTTCCCTGGTGGCAGAATGCCAGAAACGGATGTATCCCGACAGTAGAGAGTTCTGTTGTGGGGTTCAGCCATTGCTTCTCTTGATATGGGCAAGTCAAATTCTCTGAAACCTGGGAGGTTTCAAGTATGCCCATCAGAGCTTCAATCTGCTTCTGAAAATCCTTCTGAATCATCAAGGAAATTGCTTTGCTACAGCTCTTCAGAAATTAATTTGCGATAATTGACTTCAATTATTGTTGGTTATTGCATGCTGTAAAAAGTGGCATAGGCAAGAGTTGTTGTGAAATGTCTAATTTAGATTGCCCTCCACATTCTGATTTCATAAATGCCGAGTACGATCAGGGTCAGCTGAAAACTGTTGCAGTCAAGGTGTTCTCAGGAGGACCCCAGTAAATATTTTATGGTTTCTCCTCTGTCCTTGATATTGTCTTGCCTGTTTTGTAAACAGCCATGGCTTTCTCTGGAGGCCAACTCAACATCTGTTGATTTGACAATGGATTTTAGCAAAGAATAGATTAGAATGGAATAACAAATGAAAGCGGAGGAACTGTGACTACCTGTGTTAAAGCAAGGTTTTCTTCAAAGATGTCAGTTGCAAAAGAAAGTAAAAAGAGGCATTGGAATTGCTCTTCATTCTAGATGGAGGAATTTTCACAGATGGCCAACAGAAGCAAAGGAACTCAATTCCTATTTCACCTTTGTCTTTTCACACACACCCCAAATGATGATTTGAGTATCTTAGACTAAGAATGAGGAAGTCAAAAATTATGTGGTAAACACTCTTCTAGCTAATTTGAATGGCTATGCCCCTATGTCCTGATGAAACGCACAATACAATATGGAAGGAACTGGTGGAAGAGCTCTAATGAGTTCTGTTCATTATCTTTGAGGAGATCTGGAGAATAAGGGAGATACCAGAGCACCGCAGAAGAACAAATTTGGCCCCCTTCTTCTAGAAATGAAGAAAGATGATCCCAGTAATTACCTATCAGTGAGCTAACATAATACCTGAGAAGGTGTTAAAGCAGTAATAGCGCAGACTGTTTGTATGGAATTTGAAGACTTGCTATGTGTCATGTAAGACAAATCCTTCTCTGACAAGGTAATTCATTATAAGCAGGGGAATGTACTATAGCTATCATCTGCCTTGATCTCAGCAAAGTTTTGACAAGGTTCCATGTAATATTCTCTTTGATGGACTGTAATGGTGTGGTTTGCATTGGCATTATAATAAGATAGGTCCACATCTGGCTAGCTAACCATGTTCAGAAAAATCACTGGTAGCTTTACATCAAGATGGCCAATCACAACCAGTGGGTCTCATCGTGTCATCCATGAGGCCATCATGGGGCCAGAATTCTTCAATGTTGTTATCAGTGATCTGGATTACAAGATTGATTGGTGGATGCCTATCAGATTTTTGGATAACAGGAATGTTTGGCTAATACTAAGGAAGACTGGTGAGCCTGTAATATAATTTGAACAGGTTGGAAGATTGGATTGAGAGAAGAAAATTTCAGGGAGAATTTTAAGATATTATATTCAGGGGTGGGGGGAATATAGAGCACACATGGCTTGGAAACAGTACATTGAAGAAGGACTTGGGTAATAAACTGACAATAAAACAGCAGTGTGAGACAGCTTCTAGAACGGTTGTTGCAGTCATGAATAGCACCAGAAGAAATGCTGTACCCCCCCCCCCCAAAAAATACATAGTCCTTATTTTCTCTTCTGCATAACTGAGATCATATCTGGACTTTTGTGGACAACTCTGGCATCACTTTTTGAGAAGGGGCAGTTTAGATCATGTTCAGAGGAGGGCGACAAGCTTAATACAGGGACTTGAGGACACAAGGACAGGCTGAAGGATCTTCAATCTGGAAAACATAAAACAGGGGGAGTCGTGATATTGGTGTTCAAATGCATTAAAAGGTACCTTAAGGAAGATGGTCAAGAATCATTTTCCATTGCCATAGAAACAAGGACCAGAAATAATGGAAATAAGTTGCACCTACCTAAACTTCATTTAAAAATAAGGAACATCTTGATGATAAGATCTGAGCTTCAGGGAGATAGTTTGCCTATGGAGACTCTTCTTCTCTAACCCTGGACGTTTTTGTGAGCTGACCTTTCAGATTTTATCCCCAGATCTGATAGACTAAGACAGGTAATATGGACTGGGGTTGTTAGGTTTTGTTTTGGTAAAAGTGTTTTCTTGGCAAGAGCTGATGGCCACCAAACCTCTCCCTGGGTGAGAGCCAGAGAAGGATATTCTCGGGGGCAGGGGGGACACTTTGTTGATATTGGTGAGGGGAGTGGGCACCCCTGGCAGACTGATGAAAAGCGGTTGGTTTGAAATGTCTGGCAGGAGGTAGATACTGGTTGTGGAAGTTGCTGTAAGGGAAAGCTGGAAGCAGAAAGTACATGGGCAAAAATCACCCCCAGAACCAAGATGACCCCAAGAGATAGTTGTTGTTTTTTTGCTTGGATAGAGTGGGACAGACTTAGGGGAAGAACACATGAGTCGTTTGTGTTATGATCACAGATGAAAGGGTTGACTTGGTGTGTATTATCAAAATCTGGCTCGACATGGGTGGGTTTTCTTTTGAGATGGGCTTACCTGGGTTTCTGGTGTGGTGTCAACCAAGAAGTCAAGACGGAGGTGGGGGGGAGTGGCTATGGTTATCCAAGATCCTCTGTGGGGTTTCAGGGACCCTGGTCTGAAGATTAATGGATGTGAGACCCTGCTTGTTAGGTTGGGCTCTAGGGTTTCACTGATATTGTTGCTATTATGCTTGTTTCTCTGCTGATACCAATCTACCTATCTTAGCATCTCCATTCTGTGGCCAGGCTGTTGGTGGTGTTCCCAAGGATGGTCCTGGCTGGGGGACTTAAGTTTGGCTTCTTTGCGGACAGAGTCTGAGACAGCTTGAGAGTTCATAGTCAATATGGCAACCATGGGCCTTTCACAGGCCATTGAGGATCTGATACATGACAACAGTCAAGCACCTTATTTGGTTTCCTTGCCACAGTAGTGGCCACATACAGTTGGGCAAGACTTCTATTGCTCCCCTGACATGGTCAGTTCACACTCTGGTAGTTCTGCAGTTCTCTTATGCAAGACCCACAGCAGGAAGCTGGACCTATTAGATCAGTCCACCTTTGGCAAATGATGAACCCTACTAGGTTCCAGAGGGAGCTTGGGGTTGTTCCTGGAAGTGGCTCATGACCCATCTGAAGCCCTGCTTGCTGCTTGGAATGAGAGGGTGCAGGGGTTTTATAGCATGCAGCCTCTGTCCTCCCATGGAACCTGAAGCTCCTAGTTTAGAGACCAGCTGAGGGAGCTGAAACAGCTGAAAAGACTCCTAGATCAGGGGTCCCCAACCCCTGGGCCATGGCCTAATCAGAATTGGGCTGTGTGAGTGGCTGGCTGGAGTGTGCAGGTGGGCACAGCTCAACTTGCGCAAGTGGCACGCTGGCAGGCACTCGTATGCATGCACACCAGCCCACCGCTCATGCAATTCGAGCTGTGCACCAGTTCGCACAACCCAG